TCGACACCTGAAAAGCTTTAATACTGACCTTGATGTCCGAAGAGTAGCAGCTGTAATACTCAAGAGCTTCTAGGTATGTTCATGAATTTTCCATGATGGGTGCTCGCAGAATGGTTGCGTAAGGCAGCTTCTCATCACCTTTTAGCGTACTCCTAAACAAGACGGAGGCCAGAATATGCTTGCTTAACAGTGGGCTAAAATAAAAAATATTTTAAAATCGATTACTAACATCTCAAAGCCTATGCTCTGTCAGGTTACATTCTCGTTGTATGAGCTCGCATGAGAGGGTGTCCTGAGAAGCATGGCCTTGTACTGGCAAAGTAGCGTTCGTAAGAAGACAATTTTCATATAAGAAATCGCTGAATAGGGGTTGTGTGCTCGAGTCAATGTTTTGACCAGCAAACTTGTCTTTTTTAAGGCTAGAATAGAACAGTTTCGTTCTAGCCTTTAGAAAGACAAGTGCACTTGTCAAAATGTCGGCACCAGCATAGTACCTCTGTTTACGGATTTTTTCTATTTTTCCCTTCCTGCCATTTTTATGCATTTAGGCAAAAATGGCCGTAATTTATATTTATATACACCATAAAAACTAAAGAAAAGCCCTCATTAGCCTCTAATTTATGATCCTAAATGAAAGCGGCACGATAGGAGCGCAAGGAACAAAAAAAGCAACACCCTAAAATGCGGTTTCTAGCAATCAGCCTCATTTTTCAGTTTCCTCCGAATGCCACCAAACGTTTGACACATTGCTCAGTCTCGTTGGACCACTGATCGAGAGAAGAGTGACGCCGTTTCGGCTGCCAATTTCTGCACATGAAAGAAGTCATTGTTCCTCAAGGCCATGTAATGTGCTGCAGTTACAAAAATAATTAGAAATAAATTATTCCTCTCAGTCCACTGGAGTGATGCAAGCAATTGCCCACAGCAAGGAGAATGATAAAGTGGTTTTTTGGTAACATTAAAACAGCAGCAAATAAGTGGCTGGCAGTGCACTCCTTTGTGAAACGACAACAGGAAATATACACTCAGGTTGCAGTAATGGTAAAATAATTGGAGCTCGGCTTGCAAAGTATTTCATTTTCAAGAGTAGCACGTTGTCACTGGTAGAATTCATTTAAAAATTGTTATATAAATTGCTTGGTGCCCATTCAGGTAAATGACTCTGATGCAGTTACTGCTTTTTGAATATTTAAAAAAATTCAAAATTTAATTTCATTGGTTCTGTGCTGGTACGTAATATGTTTAAAGCAATTGGCCTATTTTAGCACGAAAGTGTGTGTTGTATTGTTGGGAATGCTTCAATAATCTGCAAGCCACAACTCAGCTCCAGCTAGGCATCTGCATAAATTTATGTTTAATAGTCATATTTCATGTTGCATTCCAGTGCTTATCATTGAACAAGCATTTTGTGCCACTGAGTTCATGCATATTGATTTTATTTCTTGTGGCTCTTTTTTGATTGATCTAGGTTGCTGCAGATATGGAGGAATTTCGAAATTTTCCTAATTGTTTTGGAAGCATAGATGGAAAACTTGTCATCATTGAATGCCCAAGGAATACCGGTTCAAGAAACTTAAACTACAAGAAAACTTTCAGTGTTATTTTCTTTGCATTGTTTAATGCACATTACAGGTGAAATTCTTTTTCTTACTGGCTTTTTCAAGCAGTGACAACGAATAGGCAACTTGGTTGATTGTCCTCTCATGGTACTTCTTGACTTAATCATGTGGGCTTAAGATATCATAACAAGCAGGTGGTCACACTCATTCAACATTCTTTTCAATGGTGGTACAGTCACTTACGTTCATGCTAAACTATGGGGTTCCACACTTGCATTATTGCTTACACTCATAGATATTCATAATGATTTCCATTTGTTCAGTTAGACTTTATTAATAGTAATACTGTTATCCCTTCCCTGTCTGTGGTACTCATTACCACTGCCACTGGCACGCCTTAAAACCTGTCGGCAGAAAGCAGTCTTGCTTCTACGAAAACACCATCACTCGCTCTTATTTAGACCTATCAGATGAGTGAGGAGGAAGTGAAATCTGTGTGGTGTGCTGTATAACTATGTCTACTGGATTTTCTTTTTGGTTCTCCCACTGTGTGTTTTTCCCTTTTTAGCGTGAATATGGCAACAATAATGATGAGGAAACGAAACCTTTGGTGAGGAGGCTATGCCTGATTGTAAGACGTGATTAAAGCCCCGCCGCGGTGGTCTAGTGGCTAAGGTACTCGGCTGCTGACCCGCAGGTCGCGTGTTCAAATCCTGGCTGCGGCCGCTGCATTTCAGATGGTGGCGGAAATGTTGTAGGCCCGTGTGCTCAGATTAGGGTGCACGTTAAAGAACCCCAGGTGGTCGAAATTTCCGGAGCCCTCCACTACGGCGTCTCTCATAATCATATAGTGGTTTTGGGACGTTAAACCTCACATATCAATCAATCAAGACGTGATTAAAAGAGAGCAAAGTAGGTACAGACCAGTGTCGGATAACTCAAGTCCAAGTCGAAGGCTTCAAAGTTTTGGTTGCTTGGTGTTTAATCTTCTACACGCCTTGACATCACACAGTCACATACATCTAGCGTTTCACTTACATCAAAGCACTGCGACCACAGCCCTGGTCAAACACATGACTTGTACGTAAACAGCCACATGTAACAAAAAGGTGGATCATTCTGCACAATATTTACGGTATTCATTTGCGGGGTGACCACAAAGCTTAATAAACTTTTCTTGTACAATGTATGCTTATTTTTGGAGGATAATTACATTATGCAAGTTTTTACAGATGGCCAGTACATGTACTACAGCACTCGCTATGGAAAACTAGTCCTTTGCACAAAGGGAACAATATGTGTTTTCATACAGCATTACCTATCACTGTTCTCAAGATTTACATACCTTGACATGGGCCACTATGGAGGCGACGGAGACAGTGGAATTTTTCAAGGTCCTGTTTGCTGGATTGCTTCAACAGAAGACTGTTTGGAGTTCCCCAGCGAGCAAATGTCGGAAGCATAGGACTTATACTCTATGTTTTAGTAGGGGATCAAGCCTTTCCCCTCAAGACTTTCATGATGCAACCCTACCCCCAGCGAGGCAAGTTTCATTTTGCATGTGCAGTTAATTTCGTTCTTGATGCTGGACAATTATACAAACAAAAGAAAAGTCTTATTAAAATTTTACAAAAAGTTAATATTAAAATAGGGTCAACAGTTCATAGACACTACACAAGTGAAACGGGAGTAGTTAGACAATATCTGCCCTACTGAGGCATATAATTACTGTAAACTATGCGGAGAGATAAGAGTGTCAAAGGTTGCGTATAGTTCGGAAGTGTGCAACTATGCATGCCAAAGCAGACTGCAGGAGCTGAGTGTATTTGTTATGTCATTGAGTGGCTCTGCAGAAAGGCCTCCTACATTTGTGGCAATTCTTAATTGGGCTGTATTTAGCAGATGTTGATGGTAGCGCAGTTGACATTGTCAGTGCTTTAGTAATTTTTGAAAAACTGACTTGTGTTCAGCCATTTCAATGATATACGCAACATTTCGACCTTTTAGCTAGTACTTGTAACATAAAAAAACCCATTCTTGAGAAAAAACATGTCGAAGGGGCGGTGCAATCAAATTTCGAAGCTAAAGCAAGCTTTATGTGGATTATCTCTGTATGCTAGGACACTCCACACAAATGGCTGGATATAGCAAACATTCAAAATATATTTCGATTCGCCTCCAAAGTGCACCTAAAGCCCATCACAAATGCCTTCAGAACTGTCATAGCTCTATACAAAGGCCAACAAAAGTTGAGGTGATGTCACACCACATGTGTAGTGAGCTTAGGCGTGTGCAGGTTTCCTCTTAAGGAGGAGGAAAGTTCCATTGCAGTGCACCCCCTCCGTATTATGTCAGTGCATCGGTCTGACTTTGTGCCCCCTTTCTATTCTGTCAACGTGTGAGGCTGTGCTCGCACAACGCCCTTCGTAGGTGACTATGGGAGTGGCTGCCCCCTTACCCCCGTCCCGCCCGCATGCCTATTGTAGCGAGTTGAGTGACCTTCGAGAACCTCCGCCGCATACGTACTGGCAAAGAATCGTCCCAATGCTTTGCCAGTTGGTATGTGGCAGAGTTTCTCGAAAGTTCTCGTTTGTTTTGTAGGTGCTTGTATGACGTGTGTGCGAGAAAGCCAGCGAGAACAGACGATAATCAGCATGACGTGCTTCATAGCCTTGTGTAGCCATAAGACCAAGCTACACAGCCATGTCACATGCTAATTCTGCGCGTAGAAACCGAAACTGAAAAAAAGGTTCACATAAAAATGATAATAATCTATTTAGCGAGTATAATTTAACCTTGATGAGTATATCATGCTTGCTGGAGAGCGAAGAAAGCGCAAGCCACAAAAATGGTGGCAGCAATGCACTTTCTGTGTACTGCTTAACTGCTTGCAATATTGCAGCCAGAATATTACATTACAGGATGACAATATGTATAAAGCTCACGCCGAGTTCTTACATTTAGTGCTTGGTCTACGTACACATACACGCAAAGTTGTTTGCACAAACATAAAGCATCTGCTTTGTACTCCAATACCTGCTGTAATAAGTAATGCTACCTCATTATTTTTCGTTTGATGTTCTTACGTGCATTTCTTGATTGATTGATTGATTCGTGGGGTTTAACGTCCCAAAACCACCATATGATTATGAGAGACGCCGTAGTGGAGGGCTCCGGAAATTTCGACCACCTGGGGTTCTTTAACGTGCACCCAAATCTGAGTACACGGGCCTACAACATTTCCGCCTCCATCGGAAATGCAGCCGCCACAGCCGGGATTTGATCCCGCGACCTGTACGTGCATTTCTTTTTTTACTTGTTTTTTTAGAACTTCAGAAGCACCAGAGCAACCCTGCACAGCGTGCAAAGTACCTTTAGAGAGCCACCTTAAATTACAGGCTGAGCCGCGCACGCCGCCTCATCAAAAATGCATTCGGCATTATGTCAAGTCGGTGGTGGATTCTCCGCAGAGCCTTTAGGGCCTCAGAGACCACCACCGAAAACATCATCCGAGCATGCGTCGGGCTGCACAATTTCATGCTCCAGGAGTCGCCACATGCAAGGCTGACATATAATCCATCAGGCTATGTGGACCATGAGGACTGGCAGGGCAGCTGCATGGAAGGAGCTTGGAGGGACGGCGGCGATGACCCCTGTATATTTAGGGAGCCCGCTCCGTCTGGCTGTCACTCCGCTAGGTAAGAATTTGAACACCCTACCCTTTATCATTCATACGTTTGACATTATTATGTGGAATTCATTTTCTCAAAATAAGGCTTTTGCTGAAAGGCATCTTGCTGTCGCAGTCACACACTTTCTTAGATCAAAATTTTAGAAAAGTACTGCCATTAATTTTGTAGCACTCATGTTGTATTTTGCAAATGACAGTTCAGAGCAAATGTCAATTATTCCGTTCACTTTTCTATTGTGTGCACCTACTGTGCAGAGTGGCGATAGATGTCCGGGAGAAGCTCGTCAAATTCTTTATGAATGGACGCCAAGTTCCGTGACAAGAGCACATGGTCACTCGGGCAGGTCAGTGGGTAAACTGAAGCCTGGGTAAAGGCAGATACCCTTTATATCACTTGTTGTTCAAATTGTATCGTCAGTATACATTGTAATGTTCCTACCTAAAAGAACAGGACAGCGTTATAGCCTAGGTATGGAACTGGCGTTCATCTTATTTGCTTTTTTCCCAACTTCGCCCTCCTTTTCTTTCCTTCTCCGGCTCTCGTGCTTTTTCTTCTCCTGTCCAAGGGCTCATACCACTTCACTTAGGACTCATGCCACTTCACTTTTAGGGGTGAAGCTCCTTAGGGCGTGGGCTGTGCGTCCCCTGTAGCCTGTATGTAGCCACCTCTAGTTTAGTTCTTGCAGTGTTCACTAGATGGCGGTACCGTCCCCTGTATGTAGCCACCTCTAGTTTAGTTCTTGCAGTGTTCACTAGATGGCGGTACCGTGTCCTGTATGTAGCCACCTCTCGTTTAGTTCTTGTAGTGTTTACTAGATGGTGTTACTTGTAGCTGATGATGAAAAGATGCAAGATGTTATAAACTAGAAAGCGGTACTTGTAGTTGATGAAAGACGCGAGATCTTATAAAGTAGGAATGATGTCACATATGGCGCGTGTCATTGGTTGAAGGCAATCGTTCGATTTAGTGCGGCGACGTACGCTAGGGGGAGCGATGTAATAAAATTGAGTGGGCAAAATGTACAGAGGATTCATGGTTTACCAGGTTTACCTCCGGAGCTTCGCCCACTCATTATTATTCACTTCGTGGATATGGCGGAATTTTTTCCGGTTTCTTGTAATTACCCCTCCCGGGGTAATATTTGCAGACTTTTCACATTGAAGCATATTCAACCGATCCACGTTCACCAGTGTACCAGACAGTTTTCGAAATTCCATTCTGGGTGGCTGTCTTGGTCACAGAGTAAGGACCATAAAATTTGGCACTGTCATCTCTTATTCTTTTTCTCACTAATATGAGGTCGGTGACTTGAATGTCTGGCATGTCTGCTCGATGCCTCTTGTCGAATTTTTTTTAAGTTCATTTTCGGTATATCTCCTCCTGTGATTTGTCTTGCCTCTCCCCAATGATCTTGATGTTTTCTAAGAGTCCCAACTCACGGTCTACCTGCAAAATAGGGGTTTATACTGAAAAAACGTACTGAGACTGCATCCAAAGCCAATTGTATAGGATAGATTATGATGTATCACGGCGGCTTCCAAAGAACTTTTCCATCCACCAGGAAAACTATCGTAAATGTTGATGTGCTGTTTCACTACCGTAGGGCACGTTCTGCTCACCCATTCGCTGTGGGATGGTATGGGGCACAGAACTTGGTCAATATATTGTGATCCCGAGCCCATCTTGCTAGCTTTTCGCTCTTGAACGCATTGCCGTTATCGCATACTATTGACTGCGAAGTCTTGAACATGCCTTTTTCGAGGAAGCCTATGACGCTATTTGCATCTTTTTTTCCTGCTTGTGCCGCGACCATCCTCATGTATTCATCTATGGCCAGAAGAAAAGCTTGCGTTTTATTGACTCCGTCCCGTTTCTTATTTAGTTTGGCAAAATCCAGGTGAACTACTTTGAAAGGCACGTTCGAGTGGCAAGGTAGTATCATAGCATCCATGGGCTGTTTAAACTTGACTTTGTGTACTTGACACACATGGCAGGAATAAACGTACTGACTTACATCTTTCTTCATGTGAGGCCACCAATTTGTTGGAGGTACACCGAAATCCGTTGTGTCCTCCAGATTCTGGGCTATTGTGGTACAAAGTACTCTGGACACAAGTGTTGGTAGGACTTCATGACAACCTTCAGTAAAAACCATTTGTCCGGAGCCTTTCAACAGCTTCACTTCATTGATTTGTTCGAATTTTTCTGTGTTGCTTCGTACCATCAACCTTGATAGAGCATCTGCATCGGGCAAAAGCGGCCCTGATCGATGCGAGTTGGTACAGTCGAATTGCTGCAAGTAATCCACCCATCTAGCAATACGTTCTTTAGTTTGGCTCATATTCAAGAGATTAGTGAGGGCCTGGTGATCGGTGAACAAAGTGAACTTAGTACCTTCCAGGTACAAACGGATGTACTCAGTGGCCTTCAGAACGGCCAGGACTTCCTTTTTCGTAGTAGTGTAGTTAGTTTCAGATGGCTTAAACGTGTAGCTGTAGTAACCTAGTACAAGACGATTTTCTCGGCTGGATGCTTCAATACATTTTTGATACAACACTGCTCCAGTCCCATAATGTGAGGCGTAAGTGTTCAAATCAAAGGACAAAGTTAAGTCTGGTAGGCATAGGACAGAGTCAGAAGAAATTCTGAGCACCAAGTCACGGTAGACTCTCTCACATTCGTCACTCTATTCAAAGAAAACGTCTTTATGCGTTAAACATGCGAGACATCTAGTTTTGACAGCAAAGTCCTTTAAGAAAGTTCAGAAATGTCCTGCTAATCCCAAAAACACACGCAGTGAATAGACGTCATATGATTTCTTCAACTGGGAGATCCCCTCAACGAAGCCTTGTTTCGTGCTTTTGGTGTATCCATCGAAGACTCATTTAACAAACACAACTTTTTGTTGAAAGAATGCACTCTTATTAAATTAACCTTAAGATGTACCAAGCTCAAGGCGTTTCATACCTGAGACAGAGGGTCCTGATGCTAAGCCTTTGTTTTGGAGAAGACTACTGTGTTGTTTATGCACACATTACAGAAAACACCAAGGAATGGCTTTAACGCGTCGTTCATGGCCTTATGGAACCACGCTGGCGAGTTTTTCTAACCGAAAGGAAGCCGCTTATACTCGTAGAGATCGGATGATGTGATAAAAGCTGTGCACATTTATGTTTCTTCGGTTGGTGGGATCTGCCAGAAGCCTTTGCACAAATCGATGCGGGAAAAATGTCAGCAACCACCAGTCTCATATATAATTGTGTCGATCTTCGGCATGGGAAACGGTATGAGTCCTTTCTGACGAGTGAGAACCCTGTAGTTTGTGCATATTCTGAAGGTTCCGTCTTCTTTCAGTGTGATTGTTATGGGAGAAGCAAAGGGTGATACGTATAGTCGTTTGACATCAGCCTCTAGCATCTCCTGTAACTCTTTCGTGAGCCAAGTTTTTCGCTCTCTTGACATATTGTAAGGTGATTTTCGGATGACACTCTTGTCAGCGAGTTCAAAAGGAACCTTGTATGACTTCATCGCCTGAGGATAGCTTTCTCCGCCTACAAGTTCAGGGCAGGTCGTTGCGGTATCCTCCGCGCACTTGACAACTGGTAGGTTATCTTGTCTACCTTGATATGTCTCGTTCCTTGCTACGGCCTCGACTAGAACCACATCGTCCCAGTATACATTGATCTTTAATTGCGCTCTATTTTTTACCCTGGAACTCAATGTTTACAAAGGTCCACTGATCATACAACGTTACTTCTTTATCATAGCCTTGTAGCTGTAGGTCCCTTCCACTAAGCACACGATATGCATGCATCATTTTGGCATTTATAATAAATACAGATGCATCGCTGTCTACTGAGAGCCATCATCGGCTTGTTTCCTACTTTTACGGGAATGTGAAGTAGGCTAGAGCTGCTTAAATAAATAGTCTCATTTGAAATCATCGGGTGGGACTAATCACCCTCATTTATTAGTTGTTGTTTTTCTGGCAAATCATCCTGAGCTTCATGCCGATATTATTCACTCGATGTCTTGGAACGTGCCAGGTCAAGTTACCGGGCTACTTGCGAGGTGGCTCGGTTTTCGCTGATCGCGGCTTGACCAGCCCACTTTACTCTGACTGAAACAGCTGCTCTAACTAGCGGATATGCTCGTTTGTGAAGTTGATGGTATATTCTGAAGGTACTCCAGGGGGTCATATAGAGTTCTTGATGACCGAATTTGCACCTGATTCAAGACTTCAGTGTCTAATTCATGCTTTAATAAGGCCACTACGGCCACAGATGGAAGCAAAGGCTCACCTAGCTTTAAATGATGGCGTTTCTCAAAGAAGTACTCGACAAGGAAGCTTTGCTTGAACTTGAAATTAAGTGCTGTACTCCATCTATGAATTGGGTTGCTTCCAAACGCAGTCAAAAGTTTCTTCTTCCACTGACTTCAAGAGTCGTCACTGTCTTCTTGAATGCATAAATCATACCACTTGAGTGCAACACCTTACAAGTAAACACGCAGGTTAGTGATTTTATCCTCATCAGAGAGCCACCTGTTTTTTGAGCGGCATATTCGTATAACTCAAGCCAACTTTCTGAACTTGAAGACGTACCGTCGAAGGCATCCGGCTCTACAAATTTAGGCACCAGTTTCTCACCATTCAGAGAGCTTATAAAGCATGTCATTATTTTTTTCTGTTGCATAATCTGTTCATGTTGCAGCTGAAGAGCTTTCAAAACGAGGCTCACCTCTTTTGTCGAAGACCGTGATCCTGAGTCTCTTCGACGCGCTGGTTCAAGAACTTGGTTTTAGAAGGTCGCCACATGCAAGTTCACTTTAACAGCACCTTTCCGTCGTAATTCAGCAGTGTCCACGGCTGCCTTTCCCACAACCAGGTTTACGCGTTCTTCCGAGCAGAGATCATGAGGTAGGTCCACCGTGGCTTCATCTTGAAGTTGGTACTTCGAAAAGATGATCGTGCGCGTGGAGGTCTCATCAACGAAGAACGTCACCCATATGTTGGCTTCGATGGCCGGCTGCGCCAAAATACTGTAGTGTTTCAACTTAAAAGAATGGAGCAGCATTATAGCCTCAGTAGGTACTGGCGTCCATCATTCACAACTTCATCCTATTGTTCTTTCCTGCCCCAACTTTCGTGCTTCTTCTTCTCCTGTCCCAAGGCTCATACCGCTTTATATATATGTACCTGTTTTTCTTAGCTAGGATCCTTCTTTCGTTCTTTTTTGTTATGTTGTATGTCACCATACATATGCTTGTTTTTCCAAATAAAATATATTTCTGAGTCAGCACCGGTACTGTGTTTATTC